AGCAGCTTGGTGAGAAGGTGACAACAGTTGGTGCAATCATTCACAAATGGAAGAAACACAAAACAAGTGTCAGTCTCCCTAGGTCTGGTTCACCATGCAAGATCTCACCTCGTGGAGTGTCAATGATCATGAGAACAGTGAGGAATCATCCCAGAACTACACGTGAGGATCTTGTCAATGGTCTCCAGGCAGCTGGGACCACAGTCACCAAGAAAACAATTGGTAACACACTACGCCGACAAGGACTGAAATCCTGCAGTGCCCGCAAGGTCCCTCTGCTCAAGAAAGCACATGTCCAGACCCGTCTGAAGTTTGCCACTGAACATCTGAATAATGCAGAGGACTGGTTGAAAGTGTTGTGCTCTTTAGCATGAACTCAACTCGCCGTGTTTGGAGAGAAGGAGAAAATGTCAGGGCAGGAACGATGGAATGGGCAGGCAGGCCTATGGTACGATCACGCAGCGACTGACGATAGCCGCTACCCACAAACCAGAGTCCCTCAGGGCGCGGAGTCTAAGCCCCAGGCTACCCTTCACCAGGGCCCCTGATGGTGGGGATGGACTTGACGCAGCCTGAGACCAGGTCGCGGCCCCCGAGTAACCCCAGCTGCGGTAACGACTACCACCAATGGCGTACAGCTGGTGGGAGCTAGATGGAAACACGTGTAGCGTAGTCAGACAGGCCGGGTCAATAACAACGGAGCAGACAGTACTAGACGGTAGGCAAAGAATACTCAGGTCACGGGCCGGGTTCAGCAACGGGAGATCAGGTAAAGGGTTAAAGCAGCGAATAGTCTTGTCCAAACCAAGTCGGTTACCAGGAGAGCAACGAGAACAGAACAAGAGCTTGCGACAAGGAAACATACAGGACACGAATGCAGAGAGCAATTGCAAACAACAAGCTTAAATGTGATCAGCCACACCCTTCCGAGGAGGAGCCACAGAAGCCTGAAGGCATAAAGGTTCCCACCATGCTTTGCAGAAACCTAAGATGGATGCCAGCACATGAAGATGCACAAGCTCTGAGGAAAGGTAGGACCTTGACAGAAATGCTGCCTATGACCCCAAGAACACCATCCCAACTGTCAACATGGTGGTGGAAACATTCTGCTTTGGGGGTGTTTTTCTGCTAAGGGGACAGGAGAACTGCACCGCATCAAAGGGACAATGGATGGGGCAATCTACCATCAAATCTTGGGTGAGAACCTTTTTCCCTCAGCCAGGGCATTGAAAATGGGTTGTGGATGGATGTTCCAGCATGACAATGACCCAAAACACACGGCCAAGGCAACAAGGGAGTGGCTCAAGAAGAAGCACATTAAGGTCCTGGAGTGCCTAGCCAGTCTCCAAACCTTCATCCAATTAAAAATTTGTGGAGGAGCTGAAAGTTCAAATTGCCAAACATCAGCCACCAAACCTTAATGACTTGGAGAGGATCTGCCAAGAGGAATGGGCTAAAATCCCTCCTGAGGTGTGTGCAAACCTGGTGGCCAACTCCAGGAAAGGTCAGAGTCCATTCTTATCGTGGGTTGTTGCTCCACTCATCTGCTGTGTGGGGAGGAGGAACTCTGCTTACTGAGCTGGCAGCAGTGTCAGTGCCTATGAATGCCAAGGACTGGTGGAATCTGTGACACAATGACAGAGAGCTATGCAAGAGGAAGATTGGAGGGGCAGGCCTGGGACTATTCAGACTGGATTTATGTGTATAGTTACAGAAACGCATCCAGGGCAGTTTTACCTACAGAATATTTTGCTGCTTATGACGGCATTAACCCTGTCTGTAAACATTGCCTGTCTCCCTACCAGCAATTGTAAAAGGCAGCCAGGATCTACCTTCCAGGGTGGCAATGTGCAACTCTGCCTTGACATGAAGACTGGGAAACAAACTCCCTCCTCTCCTACTTTTTGTGCTGTACACAGATCAGGAAACAGACTGATCAAAGCAGACGACCACCTCCCTCCAAATATGTTGTTTGCAGGTAGACTTACTGTGGGGGGGCTGGACTTTGGAGAGACAGAAAAAGCCTGTACACGTGTTAGTGTGATCTGCTGGGCTAATGTTACCTAGTTACCTAGGCTAGATCTGGCTCTGGTGTACAGGGATGAGTAGGGCAGAGGACATGTCAGCAGGACAAAGGGCAGAGGTCAGCAGTATGGAGGACAGGGGTCAGCAAGACAGAAGACCAGGATCAGCAGTATGGAGGACAAGGGTCAGCAGGGTAGAGGACAAGGGTCAGCAGGATAGAGGGCAGGGGTCAGCAGGATAGAGGGCAGGGGTCAGCAAGATGGAAGACCAGGATCAGCAGGACAAAAGACAGAAGTCAGCAGGATAGAGGACAGGGGTCAGCAAGATGGAAGACCAGGATCAGAAGGACAAAGGACCGAGGTCAGCAGTATGGAGGACAGGGATCAGCAAGATGGAAGACCAGGATCAGTAGGACAAAGGACAGAGGTCAGCAGGATATAGAACAGGGGTCAGCAAGATGAAAGACCAGGATCAGCAGGACTAAGGACAGCGGTCAACAGCATGGAGGACAGGGGTCAGCAAGACAGAAGACCAGGATCAGCAGTATGGAGGACAAGGGTCAGCAGGGCAGAGGACAAGGGTCTGCAGGATAGAGGGCAGGGGTCAGCAAGATGGAAGACCAGGATCAGCAGGACAAAAGACAGAAGTCAGCAGGATAGAGGACAGGGGTCAGCAAGATGGAAGACCAGGATCAGAAGGACAAAGGACAGAGGTCAGCAGTATGGAGGACAAGGGTCAGCAGGATAGAGGACATGGGTCAGCAGGATAGAGGACAGGGGTCAGCAGGATAGAGGACAGGGGTCAGCAGGATAGAGGACAGGGATCAGCAAGATGGAAGACCAGGATCAGTAGGACAAAGGACAGAGGTCAGCAGGATATAGAACAGGGGTCAGCAAGACGGAAGACCAGGATCAGTAGAACAAAGGACAGAGGTCAGCAGGATAGATAACGGGTCAGCAAGATGGAAGACCATGATCAGCAGGACAAAGGACAAGGGTTAGCAGGATAGAGGACAAGGGTTAGCAGGATAGAGGACAAGGGTCAGCAGGATAAAGGACAGGGGTCAGCAGGATAGAGGACAGGGGTCAGCAGGATGAAAGACCAGGATCAGCAGGACTAAGGACAGAGGTCAGCAGGATAGAGGACAGGGGTCAGCAGGATGAAAGACCAGGATCAGCAGGACTAAGGACAGAGGTCAGCAGCATGGAGGACAGGGGTCAGCAAGACAGAAGACCAGGATCAGTAGGACAAAGGACAACCAGTCCTGCGCCATCTGTTATCTCACCCCCAGTAAAAGAATGACATCCCACGAGCACATAGCAGGGCCCCATATGTGCCCTTCAATGCTAATCTTCCTGTACCTCAGGATCAGACTTCCTCAGGATCAGAATATCCATAATACGAGTCTGTTTCTGGTAACCATGGGAAGCGGACCGCTAGGGAGGGAGCCAGAGCACTGACCCCCTCACTACCAGAGGGCCTGTCACCTAACCAGGTACCAAGCCTACTTGTTCTTCCCTTAGGTTACCCATGGCAACTACCTCCTCTTCCTTGTCTTGTCGAGTTAACCTTTTATATAGTGGTGTTATCCGTATCCCATAGTGCTTTACACACCCAGGTTCTTTGACATAGGCCAGAACCCAACATGCTCCCCTTTTTTAATAACTTCAGACCAGGCTCATAGCAGTTGAAACAACATTACTGTAAACTTAGCATAACAGTTGCAACACAGTAAAATGTCCTTTCCCTGATTAAACCTATACATGGCTGCCCCAGCATACCTGCACAGGAAGAATCCTTAAAAGCAAAGTCCATAGTGACGATTTCCATATGCTGGTGTCCTGATGAATCAGCATCTTCTTCTCACGGCTCTCTTGACTTTGACCTTATCCCCTTTTTCCACTGTCTGGGTCCAGTCCCCTGTCCCTTTTTATACAGATACAGGACCAGTGGGTCAACCCTAAAAATGCCTGCAAAAAGTAGACCTGGAATGGCGGCAAAAGGTATTAACCCCCTCCCCCTGGCTCAGGCAGTCATGCTAATTAGCTCACTGTAGGCAACCTGCTTATATGGTTATTGGCTCCAGATCATTAACCTGAGGCTTGTACCTGTTAGAGACAGCATGGTCACTGAACCATCAGCACACACAGGTGCACACTGTTAGCTCACACCTGTACTGTTGGTTGATATGCCCTCAGTATGCAGAACTAAGTCTGAAAATGTGAAAGATGAAGTTGGTTCTCTTATATTTTGCCTTGCTTGGTTCCTTTTGGGAGCAGTTATGTAAATCTCAAAATGCCTTCATGGGATGTTCCTCAGCCAGGAAATGAGGTGAGTTCTGACTTGCTGCAACTTCTAATGCATATTGTGAGAAGCTCACAGTATGCATGAAAATCAAAGTAAGAAATTTCAGTAAAGGAGGTGAGCCGGTACAACTGTAAAGATTGAAGGGAAGGCCGGAGGTTACATTTAATCTACTGTATATGTTGCACGCATCATGCGGTAAACGAAGATACATCCCGCTCACAAACCTGATAGCCATTAACGTCTATAGAACTAGTATTACCACCAGCAGTCTTTCCAGCTAGCAGCCACCCAAGGAAAACTGACCTACAGACAGAAATGTTTCACATAAAATGTCATTTTTATTCCTCACAATATATTTGATATATTGTTTATTTTATATTAAATCTCATTCATTTCATCACAATTTTACAATTCATATAAATATATATTGTATATATTTTCAGTACAGGAATCAGAACATTAACAATCAGGAGGACGATTACAATGTAAACATGACCGGCACTTAAAAATTGTTGGTTTAAAAAAAAAAAAAAAGAGAGAAAAAAGTTTAAAAATGTCAAAAATAGCTTGTTGTCAAAAATACCCCTCTTGTATCTTTTTCACATAAACATAAAAAAGTCAAATGTAAAAAGTTAAAAAAAAAGTTGGCATCCCAGAGGAGGAAGGTATCACTGTGCGGTGAGGATGGCGTCTCTGCTGCGCAGGAGGCTGGCCTGCTTCTCCATGAGTTTACTGAACAGTCCGTCTCTGTTCTGCAGCAGCTGCTCGTGTTTACCGCACTCCACCACCCGGCCCTGGTCGATGACCGCAACCGCGTCCGCGTTCTGGATGGTGGAAAGGCGGTGAGCGATGATGAGGACCGTCCGTCCTTCCATCAGCCGGTCCAGAGCTTCCTGAACCAGGAATTCATTTTCTGCATCCAATGCACTGAAAAAAAAAATTAAAAAACAAATTAAAATTTTTTTTTAGAAGGTTTACTTCTCCTACACTTTAAGAATACCCAAAATCCAATAATGTGAAAATACAGAGTCAGAAACTGCGACAGTGAGATGTCACCACTCTCCAACAATCAATGCATTGACAGTGAATGAAAAAATTAAAAAAGCTCATCAGACTCCACCTGTAACTGTAATGTCACTTCTGGGTGGAATGGCCCTCTGGAGAAGAAGTGGGGTTTAACTAAACAGTAGTAGAATTGTTTTACCATCAAGATCCATGCAATCATTAAATCTGGTGTTTAATTTAGTTTCTCTGATGTCATAATGGTAATGATTAAATGAAGTGCCTTGTGCCCTGACAAATTGTGTGCTCGTCCTCCCTCTAAATGGGCACCATACAGAAGCGGCTCAGAGAAAGCTCCTGATACTCAAATAGAGCATGCTCCTCTTGCCATGGGGGATTCTTGAGTCTAGAATATAATGGGAATCCTATTGTTAACATCTATATGGATTATGGGGCAATGTCCCCCCCCCCCCCCCCCCGTGGTGTCATTAGCCATACAAGGTACACATTTCCAGGGACATAGGTAAAAGGGAAATAGGGGGCTATAGAGCCTCCAGAGTATCTGCAGTGCAGCTACCACTGGGCACCCAAGGCAGGAGCCACTCCTAAAGCCTCATAGTTCACAGCAAGGGAGGCTGTTCCACCCTGGATCCAATCACATGACACAGCCAAGGGAGGACTTCTCTGACTATGAACTGCCCTGGTTTGGTAAGAGTGTTTTATGGAGGGGGGGAAAGCTAAACTAAAGGGGCAGACCTGTACTGGGGGGGCTGTAGTGAGAGAGAAAAACTGTACTTGGAGGGGGGGAGTTGTACTGGGGGTCAGAATAGCTAGTGCGTGTGTGTGTGTGTGTGTGAGCGTGTGTGTGCGTGTGTGTGTATGTGTGTAGTGGTAGCTACAAAACATTGGGAGAGGAGGAGATCTGTACTGAGGGAGGAACAAAGTACTGGGAAGGGGTAAGGGAGAGCTATACTGGGAAGGGGGAGGGGTGGAGAGCTGTACTGGATAGTGGTGGCAGTAGTGGGGTGGGGGAGCTCTACTAGGAAGGGGGGGGGGCTGAACTGGGAAGGGGGGGAGAGCTGAAATAAAGGGGAAGACCTGTACTGGGTACTGGGGGGCTGTATTGAGAGAGCAAAACTGTACTGGGGAGGGGGGGGAAGTTGTACTGGGGGTCAGAATAGCTGTACTAGTTGTGGGGGGGATAGTTACAGTAGATCTGTTGAGCAGCTAGGAGGAGATCTGTACTGAGGGGGGGAGAGAGCAGTACTGGGGGGGGGGGGGGGGGAGTTGTAGGGGTCAGAATAGCTGTACTAGTTGTGGGGGGATAGCTACAGTAGATTGGGCTAGGAGGAGATCTGTACTGAGGGAGGAGAGCAGTACTGGGAAGGGGTAGGGGAGAGCTGTACTTGGAAGGAGGAGGGGTGGAGAGCTGTACTGGATGGTGGTGGTGAGCTCCACTAGGGAAGGGGGGGCTGAACTGGGAAGGGGGGAGAAGTGGTACTGGGTAAGGGGAGCAGGAGAGCTTTACTGGGGGAAGCTGTACTGAGACAGGGGGATGGAGAGCTGTGCTATGATACACCGTGCAGGAAATGAATAGTGCATTGGGGTGCATATCATTGGTGTTGCAGTAACATGCGTCTCAATGAGTATTACAGCAATGCACAAGATGTTAACTGGAAAACTTTTACTATCATGGTGAGTTTTTATTTCTAGCACTTCTATTGAAGTAAGAGTTGTTCTGGATTTCAAGGGGTTATGATGTCTGGATTCTGGATTTATGTCAACTGCATTTTAGCTTGTCACAATTATAATTCCCTTTATTTTATTTTTATTTTTATTTTAAACGCTGTCTGGTTGGGTCACAAAGCTGAGATAGGATTATTACCTTGTTGCTTCATCCAGGAGGAGAATTCTGGGATCCTGTGGAGAAGACGAATACTGAGTGACAGTACACAGTAGGGTGAAATAATAACATCCTGACAACTAGTGATGAGCTGAATGCTCTTGGGTTCGGGTAACCTGTTCCTACATTGTGCACATGAGAATAGTACACTAAGCTTGGTAGCCATGGTCTTAAATAGGCTCTGCCTGACCCAAGATGGCTGCCAGAGTCACATGGGATGGCAGCATCCAACTATAGAGCTCCCCTAGTGACCCAGGAAACCATATTCCTCTTGACTTGCTCTCTCCTGCAATGCCACTGGAGTTCAGCGCCACCCGCAGTGGAGAAAGCAGACTGCATCTACCTATAGATAGGTAAAGTACTTTCAAACAAATTAAATGGGTAAGGGGGTCTGGGCACTGCCCTGGGGAACATGTACCAAAGCAAAAAAAAAAAATTTAAAAACATTTTGTTTGATGGGGAGCAGTTATTTTAGTGATATTTACAGTAAAACATTAAATATGCAAAACTATTAAATCACACGCCTGGGGAAAAAAAAACCTAACTGGAGGCCCTCTCCAAATGAATTTTATCAGGAAACTTCAAAATAGAGCTTACTCCTCTAATGCATACCAGGCTCTTTAGGTCTTGTATGAATTTTTGGGGGGGACTCATAAAAAAAAAAAAAAAAAAAAAAGCACAAAGTCCCTTCCAAAAACCATACTGAAATGTATCTCTTAGATTGTAAGCTCCAAGAAGCAGGGCCCCTCCTAACCCTCTTGTATTGAACTGTATCATTGCTGTATTGTCTCCCGTTATATTGTAAAGTGCTGAGCAAACTGTTGGCGCTATCTACAGTGTCTCCCAGAAATGAGTCCACCTCTCACATTTTTGTAAACCTTTGATTCTCTCTTTTCATGTGACAACACTGAAGAAATGACTTTGCTAGAATGTGACGTAGTCAGCGTACAGCTTGTATAACATGTAAATTTGCTGTCCCTTCAAAATAACTCAACACACCACCATTATGTCTAAACTGCTGGCAACAAAAGTGAGTCCACCCCTAAGTGACAAGGTCCAAATTGGGCCCAAAGTGTCAATATTTTGTGTGGCCGCCATTATTTTTCATCACTGCCTTAACCCTCTTGAGATGGAGTTCACCAGGGCTTCATAGGTTGCCCCTGGAGTCCTTTTCCACCCCTCCATGATGAGATCACGGAGCTGGTGGATATTAGAGACCTTGCACTCCTCCACCTTCTGTTTGAAGATGCCCCACAGATGCTCAATGGGGTTTAGGTCTGGAGACATGATTGGCCAATCCATCACCTTTACCCTCAGCTGCTTCAGCAAGGCAGTGGTCATCTTGGAGGTGTGTGTTTTGGGTCGTTATCATGTTGGAATACTGCCCTGAAGCCCAGTCTATGAAGGGTGGGGATCATGCTCTGCTTCAGTATGTCACAGTACATGTTGGCATTCATGGTCCCCTCAATGAACTGTAGCCCCACCAGTGCCGGCAGCACTCATGCAGCCCCAGACCATGCAGCCCCAGACCATGACACTCCCACCACCATGGGGCCCCAGACCATGACACTCCCACCACCATGGGCCCCCCCACTCCCACCACCATGCAGCCCCAGACATGACACTCCCACCACCATGCTGTAGCCCCACCATGACACACTGCAGCCCCAGACCATGACACTCCCACCACCATGCTTGACTGTAGGCAAGACACACTTGTCTTTGTACTCCTCACCTGGTTGCCGCTGTGTTGAGTTATTTTGAGGGGGCGGCAAATTTACATGTTATACAAGCTGTACACTGACTACGTCACATTGTAGCAAAGTGTCATTTCTTCAGTGTTGTCACATGAAAAGATAGAATCAAATATTTACAAAAATGTGAGGAGTGTACTCATTTCTGGGAGATACTGTAAATCCTGTATTATAATAATAATAATAATAATACCCAAGCATGCTGCTGGGCAGGAAAAGAATGGAGGGGTTGTAAGTATGCACCCACTTCTCTCCTAAACCAAACCAAAAAAGTATTCATCCAAATGTCCAAACATCCAAGTTCCTGTGTTCAGAATTAACCTTAAGGCTTAAGCTCATCTTTATTGACAACTGAGCTGTGTAAGATGGAGCTGTGACAAGGTGAAGAGGTGGGGGTGGTGAAGTAAAGATCTCCACCTTATCCAATCAGAGAATGCCTTACATTCATTAAAAAATACAAGGTGTTCTGTGAATGGGAGCAGTGCCTAAGCAAGTGACCCCAGTGTTCCTCATGCACAAGCGCAGCATCTTGGCACAGGACCCAGAAGACCACAGAGATTATTGTAGTAGTACTGACTACTACAGTGATGCTCTGCTTCCACAGCTATGGAATGTGCATGTGCATGTGTGTGTGTGCATATACTGTACATACATACACACACACAGTAGGGGAAATAATTATTTGATCCCCTTTAGATTTTGTTAGTTTTCACACTTACAAAGAAATGAAGGGTCTATATTTTTATAATAGGTGTATTTTAAATGATAGAGACAGAATATCATCCAAAAATCTAGAAAAAAACATATGATACAAATGTTATAAATGGAGTTGCAGTTCAGTGAGTAAAATAAGTATTTGATCCCCTACCAGCCAACAATGATTCTGGCTCCCACAGACTGGCTATGTGCTCATGTGGTACACAGATTAGTTCTATCAATTTAAGAAGATGCTCCTAACGACAACTCATTATGTGTATAAAAAAACACCTGTCCACAGAATCTCTTTCTTCCATTCAAGCCTCACCATCATGGGCAAGACCAAAGAGCTGTCAAGGACATCAGGGACAAGATGGTAGACTTCACAAGGCTGGAATGGGTTACAAGAACATCAGCAAGAAGCTTGGTGTGAAGGAGACAACTGTTGGAGCGATTATTTGCAAATGGAAGAAATACAAAATAACCATCAATCGCCCTCAGTCTGGAGCTCCATGCAAGATTTTGCCTCATGGGGGTAAGGATGATTATGAGAAAAGTGAGGGATCAGCTCAGAATTACATGGGAGGAGCTTGTGAATGATCTTGAGGCAGCTGGGACCACAGTCACCAAACAAACCATTGGTAACACAATATGTTGCCATGGATTGAAATCCTGAAGCGCCTGCAAGGTCCCCCTCCTCAAGAATGCACATGTACAGGCTCTTATAAAGTTTTCCAACGAACATCTAAATGGTTCACAGAAGGATTGGGAGAAAGTGATGTGGTCAGATGAGACCAAAATTGAGCTCTTTGGCATTAACTCGACTCACCGTGTTTGGAGGAAGAAAAAATCTGACTATGACCCTAATAACACCATCCCTACAGTCAAGCATGGAGGTGAAACATTATGTTTTGGGGTTGTTTCTCTGCTAAAGGTACAGGTCGACTGAGCAGCCAATGGACAGGGACTATGTATTGTAAAATCTTGGATGAGAATCTTCTTCCCTCAACCAGAACACTGAAGATGGGTCGTGGATGGGTTTTCCAGCATGACAATGACCCAAAACATACCACCAAAGCAACAAAGAAGTGGCTCAAGAAGAAGCACATTAAGGTCATGGAGTGGCCTAGCCCAGTGGTGGGCAACCTTTTTTTTTCAACTGAGCCAAATCTCGCCAAAACCACGATTGAAATTTATTTTGAGAGCCACATTTTTAAAACTGAAAATACATAGGATGGTACAAATCGGTTTTTAGTTTCAATAAGTTTTTATAGTAATTCATCCCCCATAGTAATTCATCCCCCATATAGTAATTCATCCCCCATAAGTAATTCATCCCCCATAGTAATTCATCCCCCATATAGTAATTCATCCCCCATGGTAATTCATCCCCCATATAGTAATTCATCCCCCATATAGTAATTCATCCCCCATATAGTAATTCATCCCCCATAGTAATTCATCCCCCATATAGTAATTCATCCCCCCTATAGTAATTCATCCCCCCTATAGTAATTCATCCCCCATAGTAATTCATCCCCCATATAGTAATTCATCCCCCCTATAGTAATTCATCCCCCATAGTAATTCATCCCCCATAATAATTCATCCCCCATATAGTAATTCGTCCCCCATATAGTAATTCATCCCCCATATAGTAATTCATCCCCCATATAGTAATTCATCCCCCCTATAGTAATTCATCCCCCCTATAGTAATTCATCCCCCATAGTAATTCATCCCCCATATAGTAATTCATCCCCCATATAGTAATTCATCCCCCATAGTAATTCATCCCTCATATAGTAGTAGTAAGTAAGTAGCAAGTAGTAAGCCAAGTCCCCCCTCTTACCTTTGCTCCGCGCGTTCCTCTCACCGTGTTCCCGCGCCGTTCCGGTCTTCAGGGCGGACTGTGAGAGGAAGCTCCTCTCACGTTCGTCACGCTGCCCCGCCTACACACATCCTGACAGCCAATCACTGGCTATCAGGATGTGAACAATCATTGCATTTGAGCGCGCTGCCCTGGCTGGTTTTTTTTTGGATCACGCTGCAGAGTCCCTGCTGGCGCCCGGCACACAAGAGCCACATTAAAGCGTGTAAAGAGCCGCATGTGGCTCGCGAGCCGCGGTTGCCGACCACTGGCCTAGCCAGTCTCCAGACCTTAATCCTATAGAAAATGTATAGAAGGAGCTGAAAATTCGAGTTGGCAAGTGACAGCCAACTCATGTCATGTTTTGCTTGGGGATCAAATACTTATTTTACTCACTGAACTGCAAATCAATTTATAACATTTGTATCATGTGTTTATTTTTCTGAATTTTTGGATGATATTCTGTCTTTATCATTTAAATACCCTTCATTTCTTTGTAAGTGGGCAACCATACAACATCTGCAGGGGATCAAATAATTATTTTCCCCACTGTGTGTGTGTGTATGTATATAAATTTTTAATCAGAGACTATCATCAAGTCAATGAAACTCCTGGGATATTGATCAGGTCAGGTAAGTCGCAGAGGGGGTTGTTCATCAGTTTCAGCTGCTTTGTGGTTAATGAAATTAACAACAGGTGCACTAGATGGGCAACAATGAGACAACCCCCAAAACAGGAATGGTTTTGCATTTGGCTAGGGTCAGTGTCACTACTGGTAGCATGAGGCCATACTGGGACCCTACAGAGGTTGAACAGACAGAGTCCACTCCTCCAGGATGGCACATCAATATGTACCATTGTCAGAAGGTTTGCTGTGTCTCCCAGCACAATCTCAAGAGCATGGAGGAGATTCCAGGAGACAGGCAGCTACTGTAGAAGAGCTGGACAGGGCTATAGAAGGTATTTAACCCATCAACAGGACCGGTATCTTCTCCTTTGTGCAAGGGGGAACAGGATGAACCCTGCCAGAGCCCTACAAAATGACCTCCAGCAGGCCACTGGTGTGAATGTCTCTGACCAAACAATCAGAAACAGACTTCATGAGGGTGGTCCTCTAGTGGGCCCTGTGCTCACTGCCCGGCACCATAGAGCTTGATTGGCATTTGCCATTGAACACCAGAATCGTCAGGTCCACCACTGGCACCCTGTGCTTTTCACAGATGAGAGCAGGTTCCCCCTGAGCACATGTGACAGACATGAAAGGGTCTGGAGAAGCCATGGAGAACGTTCTGCTGCTGGAACATCGTTCAGCATGACCGTTTTGGTGGTGGGTCAGTGATAGTCTGGGGAGACATCCATCCTATGGAGGAACGCACAGATCTTTATAGGCTAGACAATGGCACCCTGACTGCACTTATCCTTCTACACCAACAATGAGGCATAATTTCTATCACTAATACCAACAACAGGGCACTTCTTCCCACTGACACCAATGATGGGACACTATTCCTCCCACTGACACCAACTGCAGGGCCCTATTCTTCCCAGTGACACCAAAAATGAGGGCACTATTCCGCACAATCACACCAATGATAGAGCACTATTTCTTTCCCTAATACAAACAATATGACACTATTCCTCCCACTGATACCAAGGATGAGGCACTATTCCTCCCCATGACACTAATGATGAGGCACTGTTTCTTCCCCTAAATACCAATAATGCGGCAATATTCCTCCCACTAATACCAATCATGGGCACTATTCCTCCCACTGACAAATGATGGGGCACTATTCCTCCCACTGACACCAATGATGGGGCACTATTCCTCCCACTGATACCAATGATGGGGCACTATTCCTCCCACTGACACCAATGATGGGGCACTATTCCTCCCACTGACACCAATGATGGGGCACTATTCCTCCCCTGACACCAATGATGGGGCATTATTCCTCCCACTGATACCAATGATGGGGCATTATTCCTCTCACTGACACCAATGATGGGGCACTATTCCTCCCACTGATACCAATGATAGGGCATTATTCCTCTCACTGACACCAATGATGGGGTACTATTCCTTCCACTAATACCAATCATGGGGCATTATTCCTCCCACTGACACCAATGATGGGGCATTATTCCTCCCAATGATGATACCAATGATGGGGCACTATGTCTTGATCAATGACACCAATGTAATATTCCTCCCACTAAACCAATGATGGGGCACTAGGTCTTCCTGTAATACCAAGAATGGGGCAATATTCCTCCCACTAATACCAATGATGGGGCATTCTTTACTCCTATTGACACAGTGGCATTTTCTACTCACACTGCCCACAATCCGTTACCCCCTAAAAGTCTGACGGACAATAAACCGTCCCTTTGCTCAGAAAATTTGGAGACCCCTGTTCTAATCCACAGCATGGGAAGAACAAAATATAAAGTTGTATGGCCACTGCCATAACTCTCTGGGATCTATAAACTGTTGAAAAACAGCGCCCCCTAGTGATCACATAGACTATAGCACATTTCAGTTTACCTTGAGAAGTGCCCGTGCGATGGCTATTCGTTGTTTCTGACCACCTACAAATTGAAGAAAATGCAGACATTCAGAAGGACTGTTCAGGGAATCATAGTATTTCTGTGTATGGAAAGTAAGGTTTATAGCTATGTTTAATTTACTTTTTCAGATGCAGTAAAAATTCATAAATAATATTAAAACTAACATTCAGTGTGTTTTTTTTTTCTAATTTCACTTCTTGTTTACAAAAATCTCAGATATGTGGGAAATTCCCCTTCTAGACAGTTATCACTGCAACACGTGCCCCCATTTCAATATTTTCCCTCCTCTCCTGTTTTGGGGACATACCAGGGGCTCCAACCCTTCCTTACTCCATCCAAAACAAAAGAAACATTTTGGTTAGAGATATATTTTTTTCAACCTTTGCGAGACCAAGGCTTCCATGCACCAATTTATACTCAAACAATAAAAGAATGGGAATGCAAACCATGTTTTGAATTTCTGGATAGCTCTGGATGTCTCTGTGGGAGGATGGGGTTAGAGGTTGGGAGGTGGGTTAGGACTCTACAACAATCTTGTTGGTCCTGTAGGTGATGAGGTTTCTCGAGTAAGTTGGGGGGCACTATAGGAAAGGAGGAGAGGGTTGTAGGGTTGGGTTAGGAGACTCTGCAACTGACTTGATGGCCTAGTAGAAGATAAACGTTTCTGGGGGAAGTTGGGGGGGCTCTGTGGAACATGGCACAGGGCACTATGGAGGACTGAAGGCTCTGCAGCAGGCTGGGGGGCATTGTTGAGGCTGGGTGGTACTGTGGAAGGATGGTGGTAGAGGTTGTGATGTGAGTTAGGAGACTCTACAGCAATCTTGTTGGCCCTGTAGGTAATGAGGTTTCTGGAAGAAGTTGGTTGGCACTGTGGGAAGGGGAGGAGGGGGGTGGAGGTTGTAGGGTTTGGTTAGGAAAGTCTACAACTGACTTGGTGGCCTAGTAGAATAGCAGGTTTCTGGGGGACATTGTGAGGCACTGTGGGACATGACTGGGGGCAAAATGAATGACCAGAGGCTCTGCAGCAGGCTAGGGGCATTGTGGAGGCTGGGTGGCATTGTGGAGACTGAGGGATCTAAAAGGGGAGCTATGAAAGGTTTAGAAGCACCATAGGAGCTTGGAGGCACTGTGGCAAGTTAAGGGATCTGTAGTAGACTGCAGGCCTGGGAGAAGGGAGGTCATGGCTCACTGTTTTCAGTTATATGTTTAGGCTTTTTGCAGGCTACAGAGTCATCAAACCTTACTGCAACTTGTAATGCAATATAAAACAAGGCTGGAAGCCTACAACTAGATGTGGAAGAAGGTGTTTGCAGGATCATTGCTTGTATTATTTTTTGGACAAGGCCTCTTTACAAAGGAAGAATCAATGTGAAGATATATCAGCAGCACACCAAGGATTCCTCAAACCAGTCCATGGTTACAGAGTGCAAATAAAGGCAAGGTTTGGAGCCACGCAAGTGCCTGATGAAGGGACCCTGTGTGCCTCCAAAACACTGCCTTTGTTTGCCCTGTGTGACCATGGAATAAAACTTTGGAACTGTTTGAGGAATCCTTGGTGTGCTGGTGACATTTCTTCACATTGAATGTCCATGGTTCCCGGCCTGGGATCACTGCAGCACGTATCTATACCAAACACCCATTTTCAGGAATGTGTGTGTTGGGAATATTGTGATTGCTCTTTACAAAGGAAGGCACACATCTACCTGACAGCAAGACACCTTTCTCTCCAACCACTGTATCAAAGCCTTTTGGGAAGTTTTCCACAAAGCTCAAAGCATTGGCAATGTTGGCGACACGTCGAATCTCCTCCTGGGTGACGGAGGATGGGTCTTCAGCCCCATAAGCAATGTTCTCTGAGACAGAGCAAGAAAAGAGAACCGGTTCCTGCAACAAGAAGAGGAAATAATGAGCGTTATTGTTACTTATGTGGTGTCCAAACATTGATCAACAAAAGGACAATGATGGGCTTCATTTGAGTATCCTATTTTTGGATTGAGATTCTTACCCTATGTAAGCTGCTTTAGTTTTTGCTGAAGTCACTTTATAAGACAAACTTGGATACTCTCAATTATGATCTGACCAGGATGCCTCGATCAGTAATGGAATAAAGTGAGGTAGTAGGACAGCATAGAGCCAAGTTCCTCCTGGCTTCATTCTGGCATGAATGTTCTACACAGCAATGTAACAACCATATGTCAATGCTTCCATTGTGGGATTATGAGAAGGAAGACATTGGACAATCTGGTCAAAACTGGGCCCTGGAGATGATTGCTGCTTTTTCTGTCTATACTGTGTAAGGAAGTGCAGAGTGATTTTGCAGAAATGGAAAATTACCATAATTTCCTTTAAAATATCATTGAACCTAGCCACAAATTTCTCTTAGATTAAATTTCCCTAAAAGAAAAACAATATGGACTTTGTTCTCTAATGCTGAGAAGGTTATCGCATAGCTTTCAGCTAATACATTCAGAGACCAGTTCTCCAATTCTCTCCATCACAAATATTGAACAACACCAAAAATGCAGTGGTATAGGTTACTGGCAATGGTTTAGATGAAAATGAGTGGTAGTTATCCAAAACATTCTGCAAAATACATTTTTTGACTGGTTTTTAAAGTCAAGCTCTGGGCTGCCAATCACTGACCAGGACCCAGTGTCTTGGAATTTCATTGGCTGTATGCTTGTTTAAGCTCAGTGACACAGTAGGTAGTGAAGAAAGGGTGGCCATGAAAGTCCTGGGGATGGCACCTTCATAAACAAGTCAGCAAATGTTATGTCCCGTATTTGTCCTGATATGTTGAAACATTGATTTTGCTCTTTATAAACCAGGCACCGTAATTCTGTAGTAAAATTATTTTGTGTTGTTCCTGGTTATGGCCACTAGTTGTCCTTGCTGCAGGGCTGTATCTAGCCTATCTGATCTGGGGGTGCAGTTAAAAAAAGTCAGGGGGCATAATGTCAGTAGTGTGACAGGGATACTTGGAACCAGTATTCCCTGTTCACTTGGCACACTTCTGTAACACAGAGTCGTAACCTGGAAGTAACGTCTTATAGGTAATGCAGGATGGTGCAGGAGTGAACTCAGAATTCTGTCAGTTTGCCTCATCAGAGTGTCTCCTTACAATAATTACTTCATCAGAGTGTCCCCTTACATCAATTGCCTCATCAGAGTGTCCCCTTACATCAATTGCCTAATTAGAGTGCCCCTTACATCAGTTGCCTCATCAGAGTGTCCCCTTACATCAACTGCCTCATCAGAGTGCCCCCTTACATCAATTGCCTCATCAGAGTGTCCCCTTACATCAATTGCCACATCAGAGTGTCCCCTTACATCAACTGCCTCATCAGAGTGCCCCCTTACATCAATTGCCTCATCAGAGTGTCCCCTTACATCAATTGCCTCATCAGAGTGTCCCCTTACATCAATTGTCTCACCAGAGTTCCCCTTACATCAATTGCCTCTTCAGAGTGTCCCCTTACATCAACTGCCTCATCAGAGTGTCCCCTTACATCAACTGCCTCATCAGAGTGTCCCCTTACATCAACTGCCTCATCAGAGTGTCTCCTTACATCAACTGCCTCATCAGAGTGTCCCCTTACATCAACTGCCTCATCAGAGTGTCCCCTTACATCAATTGCCTCATCAGAGTGTCCCCTTACATCAATTGCCTCTTCAGAGTTCCCCCTACATCAATTGTCTCACCAGAGTTCCCCTTACATCAACTGCCTCTTCAGAGTTCCCCCTACATCAATTGTCTCATCAGAGTGTCCCCTTACATCAATTGTCTCACCAGAGTTCCCCTTACATCAATTGCCACATCAGAGTGTCCCCTTACATCAACTGCCTCATCAGAGTGCCCCCTTACATCAATTGCCTCATCAGAGTGTCCCCTTACATCAATTGCCTCATCAGAGTGCCCCCTTACATCAATTGCCTCATCAGAGTGCCCCGTTACATCGACTGTCCCCATCAGATCTCATGGATTTGTGGATTCACTCTCAGAAGTCTGAGGAGGAACAACTAAAATCACCCCAACATCCCCTTAGATCTGGGCCTGTCTTGCTACAAATTCTCTCTCTTTTACAACATGGGGAAGTTTTCAGTTCCTCATTCTGCATTCACATGGTTTCTTTGTACAATCTCATGACCGTCACCAATCTCTGTCTTCTGGGAATAGAAGTCATAAGTCTCACCTGACTGACTGTCCCAATCTTGGAGCGTAACCAGAGTGGATTCAAGTGGCGCACATCATGACCGTCAACATGGATGGACCCTAAAAAGCAGTCAGTAGGTAGAGTTGTATGTAGAGACACATGGGGGGTGGGGGGGAATTTACTAAACTGGAGAGTGCAAAATCTGGTGCAACTCTGCATAGAAACCAATCAGCTTTCAGGTTTTATTGTCAAAGCTTCATTGAACAAGCTGAAGGTACAAGCTGATGGCTACGCCAGCACAGCTGTATTAGATTCTGAGTGCTCTGGTTTTAGTAAATCCCCCAAACGGTTCAAGGAACAAGGAAACCCAATCCAAAGATCACCATCTATGCCCAAACTTGCATGAATTTTCTAAAACAGAATCATAACCTTTGGTTGTGAGCTATGTGACAGCCAATCACAGTAGTCATGTGATCAGACAGTCCTTCTTGCCCCCCTGGATGCAAAGACCCAGTTAAATGGCCACTAGGGCTGGGTATCAAGGGGTTAAAGTGAGCCTGTTCTTTACCAGGTATAGCAAATTCACAAATTTTGTATCTCCACCCTGTCCATATGTACCATCCCTTCACACTCCTGTCATGAATTCCAATAGCAATGAGGAGAGGAACCCCCCGTGTAAATTCCAAGTCACCTGGATTCAAGACTCCCTACCCCCCATGTGACAGTATGATGGGTTGCCCGATCAACCAATCAGCAAAGCCCAACCGCTATTGCATAGAAGTGTGTCACGTGTTCCACATACGCAGTTACAATGTATAAATGTTGGCTTTCATAACATGGGGGCCCTAAACGTGTTAGTTGGGCAGGTCTAGTCTAGTCTAAAAAGAAAACAAAATAGTAATCATAATTATCGCTTACCAGAATTAGGATCGTACAATCTCAGCAGCAAAGAAACCAACGTGGATTTGCCAGAACCGCTTGGACCAACCACGGCCATTACAGAGCCAGAGGGAATAGCGAGGTCCAGACCCTGGAAGATGGGAGCCTCAGGGCGGCTCGGGTACATGAAGGTGACATTGCGGAACTCCAGGGCACCTCTGAACGTCTCTGGTGTAATTATCTCCCCCTCTAGAAGGACACAGGACATTGAACCAGTCACATCAGTCTCTGCAACAAAAGAGCTTACACTCTAATGCCCCCTCCCCCCATTTATATACTGGTGATCTGACATATATCGGAGTGCTGTATAGAGAACATTGAGACAGTCACATCAGTCTCGGTAACAGAGGAGCTTACACTCTAATGTCCCCTCCCCCACAGTCACACACTAGTATTATTTTACATTTATATAGCTCTGACATATACCGCAGCGCTGCACAGAGAACACTGAGCCAGTCACATCAGTCTCTGAACCAGAGGAGCTTACACTCTAATGTCCCCTCCCCCACAGTCCCATCGGTCTCTGTACCAGAGGAGCTTACACTCTAATGTCCCCTCCCCCCACAGTCACATCAGTCTCTGAACCAGAGGAGCTTACACTCTAATGTCCCCTCCCCCCACAGTCACATCAGTCTCTGAACCAGAGGAGCTTACACCTAATGTCCCCTCCCCCACAGTCCCATCAGTCTCTGTACCAGAGGAGCTTACACTCTAATGTCCCCTCCCCCACAGTCCCATCAGTCTCTGTACCAGAGGAGCTTACACTCTAATGTCCCCTCCCCCACAGTCACATCAGTCTCTGAACCAGAGGAGCTTACACTCTAATGTTCCCTCCCCCCCACAGTCACATCCTCTGAACCAGAGGAGCTTACGCTCAATGTTCCCTCCCCCACAGTCACATCAGTCTCTGAACTAGAGGAGCTTACGCTCTAATGTCCCCTCCCCCACAGTCACAGTCTCACTAGTATTAATTATCACACACATTGATATAGCTCTGAACCATAGAAGCTTACAATCTAATACACCCCCACCCCCCCCACCACCACAGTGACACACACACACCAGGTAACAACAGAATATGTCAATATTGCTTAAAATATTTTGATGAGGAAATGATCCATCATCATAGAAAAAACCCCTCTCACCATTAAAAGCCATCTCTGGTTTCCGGTCCAGCAGCTGCCAGATACGGGTCCCGGCACCAAACCCTTTCATGAGCTCTGAGTAGAACGAGCTGAGCCCTGAGGATTGAGTATAACATTGGTAAATGATCCTGATTTCCTGGATCCGAGATAACCAAATGTTCTTTATATCATTCACAGATGGAGACCGGTAAGATAACAGGGCAAATATCAGGAGTAATGGGGAAATGTCCGGTCATAAAAGACATTTAGATTACAGCCTACATTTGTTGAGAAGCAGTGCGTAGAATTTAAAGGATAAGTTCACCTTTGTAAAAAAGAAAATAATAAAATGTGCATCTTTTTGCAGGTAAAAAAATGCGCATTCATTATTTTTTTTTTTACTAGAAGCCTGCAAAGCATTGCACCCCTGATCAGCAGATGGTGGGTGCAGTCTCAGGCTCCTGCAGACTGTCAGTGTAAGCTGTCTGCTCGTACCTTGTACAGGCAGACAAGGCAGTTAGTGAATGCCTGAAGACTCAATTAACTACCTAGAACACTTAACAGCGCCCTGCTAATTAATTGAGAATGCAAAGGCTGTTGGTACTTGTAGTTCTTACATTCACAGAACCCTGTGAATGAATGATGTAGCCAGGTGGGCGGAGCCCTGACAGTCGTGTTTTTTTAAATTGTGACAGTGGGTGCTCGGAGAGGATCCCTGGCCTGCTTTCACAACAGGAGATCAGGTGATGCGGGGGCTGCAACAACAGTAACACAGTACCAGGGGCGGACTGACAACTCATGGGGCCCCCGGGCAATAGGGGATCATGTTGCCCCTGTGTTCTTACCCAAACTCAAAAAAGCCTATGAAAAAAGGTACCAGGGGCATCTCATGGGGCCCCCTACTGACCCCGGGCCCTCGGGCAGTGCCCGAGTTTCCATATGGTCAGTCCGCCCCTGCACGTTACACCCTAAATACAGGTGTAACATGTACCACGTTACAAGAGGTGACCTTACCTTTCATGATCAGTGTGGGTTTTACACTGGTTTGCTTTAGACCTTCTATCGTTCACAACCTTTCCTTTAAATCTCTTAGAGTTCAGCGATCATTAGCAACTCCATCATATTATTGGCTATTGTTCGAGCAAAATATATATATAATAAAGTGACCCCCCCATGCATCCTGTAGGTAATGTGACCTCCAGGAGTCCTGTAGATATTGTGAACCCATGGATCCTCTAAATAATGTGACCCCTTATGGATCTTGTAGATAATGGGACCCCATGGAACCTCTAGATAATGAGACCATCAAGAGTCTTGTAAATAATGTGACACCCAATGGTCCTGTAGATAATAAAACTCCCAGGAGTCCTCTAGATAATGTGACCCCCATGGCTTTTGTAGATAATCTGACCTCCAGGGGGCCTGTAGATATTGTGATCCCCACGGGTCCTGTAGATAATATGACCTTCATGGATTCTGCAGCTATTGTGATCCCCATAGATCCTGTATATAATGTGACCTCTCCATGGCTCCTGTAGATAACGTGAGCTTCATGTGTCCTGTAGATACCGTGATCCCCATAGATCCTGTAGATAATGGGTCCTTTAGATAATGTGACCTCCATAGGTCCTTTAGATAATGTGACCTCCATAGGTCCTTTAGATAATGTGACCCTCGTGGGTCTTGTATAAAATGTGAGTTCCATAGATCCTGTACATAATGTGATCTCCATAGGTCCTGTACATAATGTGACCTCCATAGGTCCTGTACATAATGTGACCTTCATAGGTCCTGTACATAATGTGACCTTCACAGGTCCTTTAGATAATGTGACCCTCATGGGTCCTGTATAAAATGTTACCTGCATGAGTCCTGTAAATAATGTGATCTCCATAGTTCCTGTACATAATGTGACCTCCACAGGTCCTTTAGATCTTTAGATAATGTGACCCTCATGGGTCTTGTATAAAATGTTACCTGCATGAGTCCTGTAAATAATGTGATCTCCATAGCTGCTGTACATAATGTGACCTCCATAGGTCCAGTAGATATTGTGACCCCCTTGTGTCCTGTATATAATATGACTCCTATGTGTCCTGTAGCTAATGTGACCCCTTCCCCCGGGATCCTGTAAATAATGTGACCTCCATGAGTCCTGTAGATGTCTGATGCATGAATGTAGAAGAACGTTCTAGTTGCAAAACAAGATAATCTTGAATTGCTCTCTGTTCCAAGCTACTTGCAGCTAGCAGCAAATGGGTTGATTTACTAAAGGCTTATAAACTGTGCACTTTGCGAAGTGTAGTTGCACTCTACAAGAGCAGTTGCTCCAGAGCTTAGTAAATGAGCAGAAGCTCTGCAGACTTCCATCATTATAAAATGAATAGGGGTTTTAACCTTCCCCTACTCTATCCAAAAGTAATGTGCATTTTGTGGAAGTTGACATTTTGTTCCCCCCACCAACATGGACTTCACGTACCTCCGATGCTGATCCCTACCCAGAAGGCATACATCAGGAAAGAGGAAAGTTCACCAACTGTCATCTGTGAGGCTCCAGTCAGAAGACCGCCTTTGTACAACACGGCCAGGACAATGAGATTTCCCGATAACCCAGTCTGGAAAACACAAATACCATCACTGGTCAGAAATGACGAGCCTGGTACGAAAATTGTGGCCATTTCATAGAAGGCTAAACAAATGATGGGGAAGAATTACTCTCTTTGTCTACAAGAGGGAACAGGACTCAAATCATCATCATCTAATGGACAGAAGCTACAAGAAATAAAAAAATATTATTATTATTATTATACAGTATTTATAAAGCGCCAATAGTTCACTCACCGCTGTACATTACAAAGGGGGACAGAACATGTGACAGAACAATAACAATACAATGCAAAACATGAGGTGATCGAGGGCCCTGCTCTTTCGAGCTTACAATCTAGAAGGGATGGGATAGTGGTACAGGAGGAGATAGCTGTGGGGGATGGAGTGGTAGGAGAGTGGAGGAGGTCAGCAAGTTAGCAGGGGGTGAGGTAGGCTTCCCTGAAGAGATGGGTTTTCAGGGAGCGCCTAAAGGAGAGGAGAGTAGGTGATAATCTGATGGGTTGGGGCAGGGAGTTCCAGAGGATGGGTGACACCCCTGGAGAAGTCCTGGAGGCGGGCATGGGAGGAGGAGACCAGGGAACTAGAGAGAAGGAGGTCTTGTGAGGAGCGGAGTCTGCGTGCTGGGTGGTACTTGGATATTAGGTCAGTGATGTAGTTTCGGGGCAGTATGGTGGACGGCTTTGTACGTCAGTGTTAGGATTTTTAAATTTGATCCGTTGGGCAATCGGAAGCCAGTGGAGGGATTGGCAGAGGGGGGTGGAGGACACTGGGTGGAGGCCAGTGGAGGGATTGGCAGAGGGGGGTGGCGGAGACAGAGCGGTTGGAAAGGTGAATGAGTCTGGCAGCCGTATTCAGGATGGACTGAAGCGGGGATAGCCAGCGGCGAGGCAGGCCAGTGAGGAGGGAGTTGCAGTAGTCGAGTCGTGATATGATGAGGGAGTGGATGAGCTGTTTAGTGGTTTCTGGGGTTAGGAACGTGCAGATTTTGGCGATGTTGCGGAGGTGGAGTCTGCACGAGTTTGTTAAAGATTGGACTTGGGGCTGGAAGGATAGGTTGGAGTCCAGAATGACACCAAGTACTCTGGCCTGCAGAGCGGGTTTTGATATTGGTGTTGTTGGATGTGATGTAGAAGTCAATGGGGGGTGGGGTTCGGGCTGGGGTGAAGACAAGGAGCTCGGTTTTGGAGAGATTCAGTTTAAGGAAGTGGAGCGACATCCAATCTGATATGTCGCACAGTAGGTGTGTGATTCGGGGCTGAGACCAAGGGGGTGAGGTGGGGGGTTGAGAGATAGATTTGTGTGTCGTCGGCATAGAGGTGGTAGTTGAAGCCGTGAGAGTGTATGAGTTGGCCAAGGGAGGAGGTGTAGATGGAGAAGAGAAGGGGCCCAAGGACAGAGCCTTGAGGGACCCCAACAGAGAGGGGGGGAGTGAGGGGGAGGTGGTAGCGATTATAGGTAACGCTGAAAGAGCGTTGTGACAGGTAGGATGAGAGCCAGGAGAGAGCAGAATCTCTGAGGCCGAGGGAGTGTAGTATTTTGAGGAGGGGGGGTGGTCAACTGTTTCGAAGGCCGCAGAGAGGTCAAGGAGTAGGAGCACTGAATAGTGGCCATTAGCTTTGGCGGTTAGAAGGTCGGCTCGTTGGAGAGTTTGAGTAAGGCGGTTTCGGTGGAGTGTAGGGGGCGGAAGCCAGACTGTAGGGGATCGAGGAGGTTGTTGTTGTTGAGGTGAGAGCATAGGAGGGTGGTGTAGACGAGCGCTCGAGGAGTTTAGATGTAAGTGGGAGCAGGGAGATGGGTCTGAGGTTGTTCGGGTCATTGGGGTCCAGGGAGAGCTTTTTTAAGTATGGGGGTGATGTGTGCATGTTTCAGTGGGGAGGGGAAAGTGCCGGAGGAGAGGGAGAGATTAAAGATGTGGGTGAGGTGAGCGTAGGATGGAGGGGGAGGGAGGTCGTAGGAATTGTGAGGGATAGGGTCGAGGGGCAGGTGGTGAGGCGGGCATCAGAGAGGATCTTGGAGACTTCCTTGATGGTAGTAAGGTCAAAGGTGTGGAGTGTTGGGGAAGCTTCAGTATGAGGAATGTAGGGTAGGGTGGGAGTGGAGGTCAGAGCAGTGGAGGGGCCGTGGGAGAGGGGAGATGAGGGGTAGCTGAGTGAGTGGGGGAACAGGGTTGGAGGAGTTTGAGCAGTGATGAAGTCCCTGCGGGCAATGTCGAGGGGGGGGGGGGGATGAGGCGGGTAGCTGTGTGTGAGAGGGGGACGGGTTGATGAGGGGGTGTGAGTTGCGGCAATGTCCTTGCGAATTGTGTCAATCTTGTTTTTGAAGTGATTGGCAATCTCAAGGGCGGTGAGTGAGGTGCTGGGTGGAGGTGGGGGTGGAGAGAGTTGAGAGTTGAAGGTGGAGAAGAGTCGGCAAGGATTGGAGGAGAGGGCCTTGATGAGGGTCAGGAAGTAGGCTTGTTTGGCTGCGTGGAGGGAGGAGGTGTAGGTGCGGAAGGCAGATTTGTAGCAGGTGAAAGCTTGTTGGGATTTTGTTTTGCTCCATAGTCGCTCCAGGGCACGACTGCGTCGTTTGAGGGTTTTGGTGTGATCAGTCTGCCAGGGCTGGAGCGGTCGGAGTCTGATGTTGCGTGTGGTTAAAGGCGCTAGTGAGTCAAGGGCTGCTGACAGCGCGTTGTTGTAGGCAGTCATAGCCAAGTCGGGGCAGGGACAGGGGGAGGATGCTGTCATGGAGTTGATCAGCTGCAGAGTGGAGGGGGCAGGGTTAAGGTTGCGGAGGTTACGGGCTGGTAGTAGTGTGACATTTGGAGGGGTAGGCGTTGGAGGACGAGGAGATAGAGAAGGTGATCAGGTTGTGGTCAGAGAGAGGGAAGGGGGTGTTAGTGAGGTTGTGGGGAGCGCAGCGGTTGGAGAAGACAAGGTCCAGGATATTACCGTCGGAGTGGATGGTGGATTGTATGCACTGTGCAAGTGCAAAGGAGGAGGTTAAGTGGAGGAGACGGGCTGTGTCTGGGTTGTCAAGGTTGACAGGGATGTTGAAATCCCCAAGAATGATGGTGGGTAGCTCAGAGGAGAGGAAGAAGGGTAGCCAGGAGGAAAGTCATCCAGGAAGCGGGGTATGGATCCAGGAGGCCGGTATATCACAGCAATCTTCAGGGGGGTTGGGGAGAATAGTCGGACGCAGTGGGCCTCGAAGGAGGAGAAGGATAGGGAGGGGGGGTTTGGGAGGACTCGGAAGGTGCTCTGCGGTGACAGGAGCAGACCAACCCCACCACCTTTACGACCGTTAGGTCTGGGTGAGTGGGTCCAGGTGAGACCTCCATAGGAGAGTGCAGCAGGGGAGGTGGAGTCAGTGGGCTGGATCCAGGTTTTCCGTGATCGCCAGGAGGTTGAGGGAGCGGGAAACAAAGAGGTCGTGGATGGCGGTAAGCTTGTTGCACACCGATTGGGCGTTCAGGAGTGCACATGAAAACGGGGGGGAGATTTTAGGGAGCAGGGGGACAGATACTAGGTTGCGGGGGTTGCGGTAGGACATGGAGGCGGGAGGGTGTTGTGCGGGTGAGGGAGGTGGTGGAGGGCCAGGATTCGGGGAGATGTCTCCCGCGGCTAGGAGCTGGTGTTGTCTATTTTCCTGAGGGATTCCAAGGTTGTGGTCCGTGGATGGTGTTCGGACAGGGGAAGCTGCAGTATAACGGAATATACCCAAGTGCGGTCGGGTACCGGTTCCGTTACATTGGTAAAATATAAAAAATTTAAAAAAAGTTCCTTCGCGTGGTAAAATTAAATTATTAATTCTTTGTATTTTCATTTTATTTTGCCAGCCTTTCTACACTTCCCATCTCTTTCACATAATAATAATGTTGTGAGTTTCTCCATTAAAGTTTTTTATGCAGTTAATTAAAATTGTTGCACAAAAATGTGAAAATGAAAAGCAATGATTTACCAATCTTCATGAGTGGGACCCGTGTATACACTAAAAAGGACAAACATTTTTGACCTGACCTTCATACCTATATGAGCTGTTTTTACATCCTATTTCAAAACCATTAAATGCAGTTACTCCCCCTTTGCAGTTATAACATCCTCCACTCTTCTGAGAAGACTTTCACAGGATTTTGTGGGAATTTGCACCCATTTGTGAGGTTAGGTATTGATGTTGGATGAGAAGACCTGGCCACATTTGGCATTCCAATTCTTCCCCAAAGGCAATCAGTAGGGTTGAGGTCAGGGCTCTGTACAGGACACTTGAGTTCCTCTACACCAGTGTTTCTCAACTCCAGTCCTCATGGACCCCCAACAGGTCATGTTTTCAGGATTTCCCTCAGATGAAACAGCTGTGGTAATTACTAAGGCAGTGAAACGGATCAAATCACCTGTGCAAAATAATGGAAATCCTGAAAACATGACCTGTTGGGGGTCCATGTGGACTGGAGTTGAGAAACACTGCTCTACACCAAGCTGGTCATCCATGACTTTATGGAGCTGGTTTTGTACACAGGGGACAGTTATGGGGGGACAGGGAAGGGTATTCCTGAAGGTTGGAAGGGCAGAGTTATCTAAAAGGTCTTTGAACGTCAATCTCTGTCAATGGAGATTGCATGTGTATGAACCATGGTTCTGGAAAAAGATGTCTAATGTTATATAAGTGTGATGGTCAGGTGTCCACAGACTTTTGGTTATGGGGTTAATTTACTAAAATAGGAGCACTCAAAATCTGGTGCAGCTGTGCATGGCAGCCAATCAGTTTTTAACCTCAGCTTGTTTAATGAAGCTTTGACAATAAAACCTGGAAGCTGATTGGTTTCTGTGCAGCGCAGCACCAGATTTTGCACTCTCCAGTTTTTAGTAAATCTCCCCCGTAGTGTAAAAAAGTAATCTCTGCCCAATGTGAAGCCAAGCCTGGCTAATGCCACCATGTTTGATTATGTCTTATCATATGTTTCACCTGATAAACCTCTAAGGATATAATGTAGAAGGAAAAATTCCACTCACCATCCCAAAGAATCCGGCCCGAGCCAAGGACTCTTTATAAGCCAAGTCCAGAACATAATCCACCTTATTGTCATACTTCTTCATCTCGTGCATCTCCTTCCCGAAGGCACGGACTGTCCTCACATTGCCGATACGCTCATCTGCCAGCTGCAGGAATAAAACAAGGGGAACCTAATAACTGAATCCAACATGTGACAGCAGAAAGGATGTAGCAAATAATAACCCTTCCACACTCCAACCAGAACTAAAGCATTTGGCTTGCAGGAGAAAATTAAGCCCATCCACCACTATCTATCCATCCATCCATCCATTCGTCTATCCATTCATCTATCTATCCATTCCACCCATCTATCCTTCCATCTATCCACCCATCTCTCCATCCATCTCTCCATCCATCTCTCCATCCATCTCCATCCATCTCTCCATCCATCTATCCATTTATCCACCCATCTATCCTTCCATCTATCCACCCATCTCTCCATCCATCTCTCCATCCATCTATCCATCCATCCATCTATATCCATTTATCCACCCATCTATCCTTCCATCTATCCACCCATCTCTCCATCCATCTCTCCATCCATCTCTCCATCCATCTATCCATTCATCTATCCATTCATCCATCCATTCATCCATCCATCTATCCAGCTATCCATCCATCCATTCATCTATCCATCCATCCATATCTATTAAAGTCACTCAGAGATAGTAATATTGATTCATTATAAATGGGTGAGAGATGACATTACAGCTACTTAAACATTTCTCCAGACAGTTCTGCTTGATTTGCTGCCCTCCAACCTGTAGAAAAATATGTGCACCCCATGGGAATTCCTCTACAGTGAGTGATAGCATGAATACTTGAATGGTTCCTTTATACTTTGAACACAGACAAGTATAGGAGGGAATAATGGTGTGAAGAGCAGCTCAGCATGAAAAATATATAAAACTGAATCTGACGTTGATGAACCCCATAGGTTCTCACCTGGGTGGCTTCTGCCAGCGAATCTTGTGTCAGCTTGGAGACCTTCCGTAAATATCTGCCGTAGATGACTCCAACAACCCCCATGGGAGGGATGATGCTCAGCACAAATGTAGCCAATTGTGGGGATACAAAAAACTGCAAAAAATAAATACATTCTTACAGTGACTGTCCATGTGGAGCTCACTCATGGTGTTTTAGAGCAAACCGATTGGTATGTTACTGGAAACCAAAGCTTTGGAATCTTCTATGTAAACAATGACCAATAGCAAGCAATCTGCAGTCACTTGTCATTGTCCTTACCGGTCTCACATACCCGCCATATACCAGCCACCCAATTATACCACTAGCATGTCTCCGGAGGGTGGGAGGAAGTGGAAGTACCTGGAGGAAACTCACCCAAGCACAGGGAGAACTTGCAAACTCCATTCAGGAGTCCTGGCCAGGAAAGAAACCAAGGACCCCAGTGCTGCTAGGCAGACTTATTGATCAGTAAGCCACTGTGCTGGATCTCAGTGCTGCATTGTCGAAGTGTCTGCCAAGTGCAGCTCAGAGGGAGGAACCCACTTATAAAAACACATGAAAGGGATCCCCTCTTCCAACTAAACAATTAAAAAAGGTATTCCTTATCTAATTCAATCAATGACAATACACACATTAACGAACATGCACATGGTCCCAAATACGGGAATTACCATCATCCCAACTCCAACCGTAGCCTGCGCCACCGCTCTGAGCCCATCCGAGAGGTTCTCGGTGACTGATCTACCAATCAGAACGCTGTCTGATGATAAACGATTGATCAACTCTCCGGTCCGAGTCTTGTCAAAGAATCCAACTTCCTGCCGCAGGACAGAGGAGAAGAGAGAAGAGCGCAAATGGCGCACTATACGCTGCCCTGGAGGATGGAAAGGAAAGTTCTGTATATTGGTTCTTGGTTCAGTACACCACTAAGTGCAATTAAATGTCACATTCAATAAATGCTGAAAATTAACAATGTGTCAAGCTAAAATAATAACAATATACACTACATTATATATTGTTCAGTGTGTGTATATATATATATATATATATATATATATAGACACACACACATATACACACACACACACATACATACACACACACATACATACACACACACATACATACACACACAATTAAATAAATGCATAAGTCCTTTATATAAATATAATAACCAAAAATACAAAATGTAAATATAAATTAGAACAATAATAATAATTACTACTACTACAGTTTATTATTATATTTTGTAATTAAAAAAAAATACATTATATATGTATTATATACACGCACATGCACACACACAAAATAAAAGGCCTAAGTCCTTTATATACAATGGCAACAAAAAATAGAAATATAAATATAAATTAAAACAAAAATATTAATAAAAATAATAGCAATAATAATAAATAGTTTACATGAAAAACAATAGCAACAATAATAAATATATAAATGGGATATTTACTTTTATATATATATATATATATATATATATATATATATTTATATATAATATATATATATATGAAATACAGTCATTTATATATATCTAAACATAACAAGAACAACAAATACACATTTAAAAATAATGATATTAAATAATGCAAATAATTATTATTATAAAAAAAAACAATAGCAATAACAACAACTATATGAATAGGATATGTATATATAATATACAGATAATAAGTAAAAACCTGAGTCATTTTTTTATGTAATAAAAAATAGTAATATTGAAGATAATGTTAATAATAATAATAACAATAATAATAAACTAAATAACAACAATATTCACATAAATAAGAAAAACAGCCTGCATAATTCATATTTTAAATATCTATATATAACAAGAAAATGTTAAAATAAATAGGATTTAAAATATAATTATATAAAATACTGTAACCCAATATTATAATAATAATATAATAATAATAATAATAATAAACCTGAGTCTGTCTGATCTGCAGAGCTCTACACAATTCAGGAATGTGGCCCATCAGGAACTGTAGGACTCTCTGCAGAATGGAGGCGTTTGCATTCTTATATACAGAATAATAAAAATATCTGCATTTTGAGGATCCACCTAATTGATTATCACTACCTCTGATCTATCCCTCACTCTCCAATGGGTGGGGATCCTACCTGAGGTTTGCATGAGGTAGACGCGGGCCCCGTTGGCGGCGGCTCCGCATAGGAAGACTCCGCTCAGTAAGGAGCACAGTGTGGTCAGGCTGGAGGAGAAATCCTCGGGGGGGTTGGAATAGATCACATCGATCACTTTCCCCAGGAAGAATGGCGCAGACATGGTGATGACACTGGATACGGTGAGGAATCCGACCGCCCGCTGCGACATGAAAACAAAATACAACCGTTACTTATCCAATGACAGACTATTCCTGCTGGGAACATGGACCTACATGGCTTATACTCCGACACCCCCCATACCTTCAACACCCCACCCCCCATACATCTCATTATAAATGTATTTTATCTCCTCCCTGCAATCTGCATGTATTGACTGCAAGAACACATAAATCAAGAAGAATATTTGAAGCGACTCTTTCTTCTTTCCTGAGGTTGCAGTGAGCTGCACTCTGCATGACCTGTGGTGGCACGTTTGCTGTCCAGCAGCCATTTGGCTCCATATAGATAGCATAGAGGTTGATTTACTAATACTGGAGAGCGCAGAATCTGGTGTATCTGTGCATGGCGGCCAATCAGCTTCAACTTTCAGCTTGTTCCATTAAGCTTTGGCAATAAAACCTGGAAGCTGATTGGCTCCCATGCAGAGCTGCACCAGATTTTGCACCCTCCAGTTTTTTGTAAATCCCCCCCCCCATAGTGTCTAGGCGATTACTACTGCTGTCTTGCAGCACTGGGGTCCTGGTTTGTACTTCCACCAAGAACACCCTCCATAGGTAGGGGCTCCAGTCTACTCCTGCAATCAAACTCCAGCCAGTTATGTATGATTTCAAGACGTATTCTCAACATTCCACAACAGGGCCCACTAGCAGTGATGCATTTTAGGTTTTGTGCTGCCCTAGGCAAGACAAAGCCTCACACCTATCATCACCAGACCCCCCCCCAACCACTCCCAACCCGTGGGGAGTGTCTGACAGTGACCAACACCCCTGCCCCATCCCCCCCATCCGAGAGAGCCTTCCACTAACATTCCCCACCCCCCCATGGCGACAAAGAGAGACACTAACCTTCACAGCTCTGGACATCCCTGGAAACAACAGTTGGGCTCTGCCTACACTATCAAGCAGCCCTTCTTGGATCCCAATTGGTCCCCATGCCGTATATGTCCCTTCTTCCAGAGGGCAGTGCTGCCCCCCTAAAAAATGCCACCCTAGGCAAATGCCTTGTGGTAAATACGCCCCTGCCCACCAGTTATATAGAGGGGTTTGGATGTGTAAACAAGTGCAGCGCTATAGTACTAGGATAAAACAATAAAGTACATCACATAAAAATAATATGGATATATATTAAAGCGGAGCAGTAAAGTGCATTATTTAAAAGTGCAGAAAAATTTGCTAAATAATATGATATGATACAATTAATGAATGTATTAAAAACTGAATATGAAATATGAAACAGCAAAGTGCATCATATAGACAAAAAAAAAAAAACAGGCAAAAGAATATAATAAAGTGTCTCATATCTTCCATAAATAATGTCTGTGATATCATATGCTATATAAATAAATATATATTATATATGTTAGGTAAATAGCAGAATATTATATATTATAATAAAAGAAGTAGATAGCCAAATATTATAGGTAATCAAAGTTAATATGGTCCGTGATATGGTGGAATCCAAATAAGCGTCCATTGAAATAATAAAGTGCAGCGAACTAAAGTGCTGAATGTGAACGTGATAACAATCACAATGGGGAATCGGCCACCCTCTATTGGATGTACACTCACCAGAATAGGACTAGTATCAGGCATTTCAGGCAACACATCTTGAGGTAGGGGGCAGCCAAGAGGCTAGAATGCACTGTCACCTGGGGCTTGGGAATGGACTGTCACCTGGGGCTTGGGAATGGACTGTCATCATGGGGCTTGGGAATGGACTGTCATCATGGGGCTTGGGAATGGACTGTCACCTGGGGCTTGGGAATGGACTGTCACCTGGGGCTTGAGAATGGACTGTCATCTGGGGCTTGGGAATGGACTGTCACCTGGGGCTTGGAATGGACTGTCACCTGGGGCTTGAGAATGGACTGTCACCTGGGGCTTGGAATGGACTGTCACCTGGGGCTTGAGAATGGACTGTCACCTGGGGCTTGGGAATGGACTGTCATCTGGGGCTTGGAATGGACTGTCACATGGGGCTTGGGAATGGACTGTCACATGGGGCTTTGGAATGGACTGTCACCTGGGGCTAGGGAATGGACTGTCACATGGGGCTTGGGAATGGACTGTCACATGGGGCTTGGGAATGGACTGTCACATGGGGCTTGGGAATGGACTGTCACCTGGGGCTTGGGAATGGACTGTCACCTTTGGAATGGACTGTCACCTGGGGCTTGGGAATGGACTGTCACCTGGGGCTTGGGAATGGACTGTCACCTGGGGCTTGGGAATGGACTGTCACCTGGGGCTTTGGAATGGACTGTCACCTGGGGCTTGGAATGGACTGTCACCTGGGGCTTTGGAATGGACTGTCACATGGGGCTTTGGAATGGACTGTCACATGGGGCTTTGGAAATGGACTGTCACTTGGGGCTTTGGAATGGACTGTACCTGGGGCTAGGAATGGACTGTCACCTGGGGCATTGGGAAATGGACTGTCACCTGGGGCTTTGGAAAGGACTGTCACCTGGGGCTTTGGAATGGACTGTCACTGGGGCTTGGGAATGGACTGTCACCTGGGGCTTTGGAATGGACTGTCACTGGGGCTTGGGAATGGACTGTCATCTGGGCTTTAGAATGGACTGTCATCAAGGGAGCCTTTGTCTATTTTTATATATAAAAAACATAAATTTCAGTTCTCTGTAAAACATAGATAAAATCAATGAAGTATCAAATACCAAGATGGCCACCGCCTCAGTCCTTCTGGCAGCAGCAGCGTGACGTCACCAAGAGGCTCCACCAGCACACAGACTCTGACTAAAAAACCCCAGCTGTGCATGAGACTGTGTAGAGAGGGGTGTGTCTATTTCTTCCACTCAGGTGTCAGACTACACTCAGTTCTCTGCTCTATGCTCTACAGTCTGTGAAATCAATCCCCCACCCCTGCCTCTGGAGTTCTGGTATTCTACTATATATTATATCCCAATATAGTTAAGAATAAAATAAACAGGACATGGACACAACTTAAAGTGTTACTAAACCCCGGACCCCGCACTCACTATATCCGCTCTCCCCGGACCCCGCATTCACTATATCCGCTCTCCCCGGACCCCGCATTCACTATATCCGCTCTGCCCGGACCCCGCACTCACTATACCCGCTCTCCCTGGACCCTGCATTCACTATATCCGCTCTCCCCGGACCCCGCTTTCACTATATCCACTCTCCCCGGACCCTGCATTCACTATATCCGTTCTCCCCGGACCCCGCATTCACTATATCCGTTCTCCCCGGACCCCGCATTCACTAGATCCGCTCTCCCTGGACCCTGCATTCACTATATCCGGTCTCCCACAGTACACAGAACATGGAAATGCAATTAGCATCAGCAGTATATAGCAGTCTTCTGACTTCTATCAGTGTTCAGCAGAGCACTGGTTAAAGCGTGTAGGAGTTTTCTTTCTGATCTAGGAGGATGCAGAACCCCTGACCTCTGTCTGGAAAGTGCTGATTGGCTCTGTGCTGATCACATGCACTCTTCCAAGAAAAAAAAAACTTCTCTAGCAATACACACTAAACTGAGCATGTGCAAAAAGGCTACGGGGTCAGTCTGTCTTAACAGGAGCTAAGAAGTGGACATTTGAACAAGAGGAGGGGCAGAGAAGACAGGATCAAACAGCCTTTTTACACAATGCACAGGATTAACCCCTTAGGTTCCACAGTGAGTATAACAAGCATGCTTTACTGCATCTACAGACTGATTGTACTGTTGGGGGTTTAGTAACACTTTAAGTACTATGAACAGATGTAGAGAAGAAGAGAAAACATAAACAGGTACAACTTATGTAAGAGGATTTTTTTTTGTCCTTGAGAGTCCAGTCACTTCACTGGGTATATGTAAAGGATTTACAATCATTTTAAGGTCTCTTTTTTCTGATGTCATTTGGTTTGTTGGTTATAAACACCAAAACAATTGTAACACAATGTAGCTAATCTTTGAAGATGGAATGAATGGAGTTTCATGGGAAAAGCCAATTAAAGTAGAATTATGACTCCGACGTGAAGGAGACTGAAGACTTCTGAGAGGGCGCAGTGACCTGAACACAAAGGATGTTTGGATGACGTCAGACCCAACACTGCACCGGTCCATGGAGATCATTAATCCCGAGGAATGTATAGAGCTGGAATTCCCTCCTATATTCCCACGTGCTCCGGCTCATGGAGGAGATTATTGAGAATTCTCACAGGTCACGTGTCACCCTGACACCACCTACAGATTGGGATTTAATAACAGGAATGCATAGCTTATCCCCCCTCTCTGCCAATCCCTCCACTGGCCTCCACTCAGTGTCCTCCACTGGGGGGGCGCTGGGGGCTGGGGCCAGGGGGGTCCCCTCTCTGTCAATCCCTCCACTGGCCTCCACTCAGTGTCCTCCACCCCTCTCTGTCAATCCCTCCACTGGCCTCCATTCAGTGTCCTCCACCGCTCTCTGCCAATCCACTGGCCTCCACTGCCTCCATTCAGTGTCTGCTACCCCTCTCTGCCTCCCTCTGGCTTCCAAGTGTCCTCTCTCTCTGCCATCCCTGGCCTCCATTCCCTACCCCTCTCTGCCAATCCCTCCACTGACCTCCACTCAGTGTCCTCCAACCCCTGGCCTCTCTGCCAATGCCCCTCCACTGGCCTCCATTCAGTATCCTCCACCCCTCTCTGCCAATCCCTCCACTGGCTTCCACTCAGTGTCCTCCAACCCCTCTCTGCCAATCCCCTCCACTGGCTTCCACTCACTCAATGAATAAAATTCAAAATACGAACAACAACTTACAAAGCCATCCACAACTGCCCTCATCTACATCACCAACCTGGTCTCAAACTATCACCCAAACCGCTCTCTTTGATCCTCCCAAGACCTTCTGCTCTCTAGTTCCCGTGTCACCTCCTCCCATGCTCACCTCCAGGACTTCTCCCAAGCTTCTCCCATCCTATGGAACTCTCTAGCCCAATCTTTCCGACTATCTCCTAATTTATTCACCTTTAGACGAT